AAACAGTATATTTATCGGTTGATATTATTTGCCTACCAGTTACAGGTAAATAAACAGCACAGTGATGAACAAAATTAAGAAGGTTAATTAAGTGAAAGAATTAAAACAAAAGAAAAATTAAGGAAAATTTCTTCTACTAATTCAGTCATTTACTTTAAAATATTGCATATTTAAATTTGTTTCTGTTTTTAATTTAATTAAAAAAAATACAATTCTTTTAAATTACAATTTAAAATTGCTGTTAATCCTTGACTAATTAATTTTTTCTTAATGCCATATATAATATTTGACATCAATTGTATAATGCTAAAAATTATTAACACTTTAATATATTTTTAATAAATTGAGTATATTATATTTCCTTATTACAATTTGTAACATTTCAGTTTGAAAATATTTATTTTTTCAGCGAAAATTCAACTCCCAATGAGTCATTCCTTCTTCTCAATGACCAAAGCATTTACCTACACACAATTTTTTTTCGGTCACTTCCAATCAATCAATCAATCAACTGACCGAAAGTTAACACTTCAGTAAATCTTGACCAATGATTCCTTCCACAGCAGCACTTCCGAAGTTAACGCAGGCTTATATGTTGTAATTGGTAGCATTTCTCATTCTTTTCTGATAAAATTCCATTGAGAACAACACAGATAGACAGACAGACAGATACACACACACACTCGTAGACACGTAAGAGACACACACAGGCACAGACTGGCATACACAGACACAAAATACACACACACTTTAGGTGTAATTCGTTGCTACTTGGCGAACAACGTGAAAAAATTGTTCGAACATAGAAAATTTAAAAAAAAAGAGCATATTGAACAAACAGACAGACAGACAGACACACTCATGTAAAAATTAGCTGTAGACATACACACATATACACATGGAATAGCCGAATTAACGAACACATACACGTAAGACATGCGTGTATGTTTGGTATAACGCGATATTTCACGTATGTCAATTACTTCTCTTGCAAGTAGATATTATTGCAGCTATATAGTGAGACAGTGCAGAATAAATATGAACGTATCATTTTTTCTTTCATTCCCTTCTTTTTTTTGCTGATTACAAGCGCGTTTTAATGACAGCAACAAGGCAAAACATCTCTCCTTTCATTATTCTTATCAAAATAACAGTAAATACTTTATACGTAATTACACGTTACATCCAGTTTAACTTCAGTAGTATTATTATAATGCCATAGCTGCTTATAATTGCCTGCAATGTGTGCATGCCTTAAAAGCACAAACTATACATAATAAGTAATTAAATAGGCGCTATGTAATACACAAATCACGTATTAACTTTTGTTTTTTTGCTTAAATGAATAATTTGCATTGTGCTACTATGGAACTGTCATCTTTTTGTAAAGCGTCTTTTTTTCCCGTCTAACAGTACTCAGGCAAGGCATTTGCATTTCTTTCATTAGACTTTTATTTTTAAATAAATTTTTTGCTTTTTATCTTTTAAATTTTGCAAGCGAAAAATGAATTGCAAAAAATTGCACATAAGTAACGCTTGATGGAAAAAAAAGTCATTACTTTGCTAAGACTAAAGTTGCGCTCATTTAACTAAGTTACACTCTGTCTAGTCACAAATAATTCAGTTTATATAATTAAGTTATACTCCACTTAGTGTGAATATATCGTACCTTTAATTTATTATGATTGATATTTCAGGACGAAATAATGAAAGTACCAGCAGGTGCAACATTTCACCTGTCAACAACTTTGTTTTGCCCAGAAGCGGTTCATACTTTATGTTTTAATTAGAAGTTAATAATAATTGCTTTAATATACGTAGAGCAGAAAAAAAAAAGCTGTGCTTTGAATTTAGCAAAGATAACGAACTCTTTACGTACTTTTGAAATTCTCGTTGTTTTTTAAACTTCAGAAATTTCTTTCATTCAGATTTCAGCTTTTCCCTTTTTTTCAAATCTTATCACACAAAGGAAATATCAATCATTCATTTCTCTCAGATATAAATTAGTTAGCTAATTTTTCTTAAAAAAAAGTCATAAATGTATTTTAAAAATTGTTGCGACAATTTTATTTAATTTTTTCCGCGCATACTGCCATTCAGATCAATTTTTTTTTACTTGATAAGCATTGTAAAATCCGAAATACTCAACGTTATCAATTAAATTTTACGGCGTAAGTTAAGTAAGCAAGTTTCAAGCTACTAAAATTTCATGATTGATATTCTCACAAACGCAACAGTTTTGTTTATATCATCGAATTTGATCATATTGCGTGAATGGCTGCAGCGTGGCACTTTTTGAGCATTTCATGACATTGAAAACACAATTCATGCATTGAACCTTTTGAGCTCTGTTATTATTTCCCTTACATCAACGTGAATTGAGCAGTTTTACCTTGCTTTCTACTATTTTTTATTCATAATAAAAACATTTTCATTTTTTTCTCCGTAATTTTGGAATAATTCTTCAGAAATTTTCAGGGTAATATAGACGGAAAACAACTGATTGATAAACAATCCAAAATCGGTCGCAAACACTGCCAAGTTTTTCCTGTAGAAAAATCACCACCAATCACTCAATTTAATCAACGCAGTAGAAAGTAATTGCTTTTCATTTCATTAATTAGACAACTACTAATAAATTGATAAGTTATAATAATATTAATAGTCTTTAGAAAACAACATTTTTGTCCTATTTTGTAAATTATGTTTTTGAAATTTCGATAAAATACTGTAATGTTATCAGAAATATATCTTTTGCATTTAGTAAATTTTTATAAAAAATAACTGAGATTGATTTCCTCTACTAGCCATATCAGTAATAATGTTATCTATTATAAATTTGTGAATGATGTCAGAAGCAATTATTTTAGAAATGTTCTGATAAATTATAATAAAGTAACATGAGGAAAAGTTGCATAAATAATAAGAAAGCATCATTATTTGAAAATGAGTGTGTACTGATTTTTACATATTACGTACGTGCTCATCTCTTGTGATATGTGGTTCATAGTATAGAAAACTTGAATTAATAATTGGTATGATTGGAAGTAGGTGACGACTGCATTTTAATCTTCCATACACTCTCATATGAATATATTAGATAATAAACTAACAGATATGCATATAAAATATGTTTTGCTGAATCTGATATCTAGTATTGAATTTTTTGTCAATATAAAAAGACAAATAAAAGTCATATAGTATCTTTAATTTCTATAAATGTCTTTTTAATTCATAAATTTATTTTTTCTTTGTTACGTTATAATGCTTTACTTGTAAATATTTGTATGCTCACTATTTTTTGTTCTTTAAGCTTTGAGATGTTTTGAAAGATATTTTAATAATTAAATAATTCTTTGTTAAGAAAATACAGTCATTTTGATAAAATATTTTAAAAAATGTTTACAAAATTAATGCTTAAGAATGATAATTATTGCAGAAATGAAATTAATTATACCAAACGTGTGCAGGAGATTAGCTTAAAAATGGAGTTAGCTACTTTGGCTAATCAGCCAAATAGCAATAATCAACAGCAATTACAAATGCAGTCATCAAATTCAGCTGCTACAGAATCGCAAAACTTTGATGGTTGTTTACAGAATCAGTAAGAATGATTACTTTTTATCAATTTACTGTATATTCAAATTGTATGAAAGAATTATAGCACAGAGCAACACTTTCAATAAACTCATTTTTATGGAAAATAATAAATATTACACTATATCACATCAAGAATTTTCGGGTGATTTGTTTTTAGAACATCGCAGACGATTTCGGTGACGAACAATACATTACCTTCACCTCTGACTGTACCTTCTACGGAAGTGGTAACAACGTTTGCTAATGATAGCAGCACTAATGTTAATGATAGAAATATGAGTGAAGAAGGTTATCAGAATTCAGGAAAAAGTCTTCGAGAGATGCGGGAACTGGATCGAGAGAAACTGATGCGATACGTGTATTTTGGACAAGCAGCCTTAGTGATTATTGTTGCTTTAGCTTGGATTGCTTTTACTATTTTCGATTTAGATTCTGAGAAGGCTAACGAAAACGCAACTCGAAATGAATTTGCCAACGCAACACAAAATAAATCTTTTATCCTTCCCGCACTAATCAATAATACCACAAATTCAAACAGGAAACCTTTGCCATCAGTACCAGTAGACGATAGAATTTCAAACAGTACACCGTTGAAAGTCCCGTTAATGGTAAACAATGGTATTGATTACCCTATTAATGGTGATTTCTGATTTTTATTATTTATAACACGGGATTTATGTATTCATACCAGTGTTCTTCAGCAATGAATATATGTTCTTTGATGTCAGCAGTAAAAATATCAAATATATGTTCGTTCAAATAGTAACAATAATTTTAATTGTGAATGTTAGGCAATAAAAACTGCATTAAAACAATAGTAATATATAGTAAACAATAATAACAATGACAATAAATTGTACAATAAATGAAATGAGTAACTTTCAACATCTGTTAAATTTTATCAGAAATTTGCTCTCTAATACATTCTTTTGACACTTGCTTATTTTGTTTCAGAAGAGGTTGATTTTTTGAAATTGAAATAGAAACCACTTTTTTGTAACACAACAATTTATTAAATTCAGATGCTACCCATGCCAGCGAGTAAATATCGATAAAGTTTAATTAAATTTAGTTGGTTATAAAATTCATATTGTCATCGACGTCGTAGATGATTTATTCTAGATGATTTACTTGAATCTGTAGCTGATTCTCTTTCATATGATTTTTTTGAATTTGTAGAAGATGATGTTAGCGTTGCTGTTCTTTTAGATTCGTCTGTAGTGTCATAGCTTTCGTCGCTGCTTCCAGATTCATCGGATTCTGAGCATAATTTTTGCGAAGTTAGTGAAGAGCTTACTTCTTCATGTAATGTGTTTAACACAGGTGGCTCTTGGCATGTTTTAGATAACTGTTTTGATTGTATTTTTGGCGTTTTTCTCGATGATAGAATATTTTCTAGCGTTGATTCTGTTAAAGTTTTTGATCGACCTGATTCTGTAGTCACTTGTGTACTGCCTAGTGATTTTAGCGATTGCTGCGTTTTATCCTCAATAATTTTTTTATTATCCATAGTCTTAAACGAACCAAAATTTATTATACTTTAAATAGCTAACTTTTTTCGACTCTTTTACTAAATAAAAAAATGACAAAATATTTACCATAAAGTTTAATAAAAATAATTTTTGATTATATGCTTAAATAAATTGAACAATTGTTTATTAAAGTTAGCTAAAAAATTATGCGGAAAGTTATTTCTTACGCATTGTCATGAAAACAGTAACACACAGTTTGGAAATCTCTTATCTAGCATACAAAACTACAATAATCTTTGACTGACTCACAAGAAAAATATTTTATGCATGAAATTCAAAATTTTGTAGAAAAAATTTTACCAGCGACCTACTGGTTATCTGTCGGCTGATTACTGACGGATTTATAATAGCTTTCAATTCATTCGAGCGTAAGACTCTGCAAAAATATAACTATTTGTTAATTAAACAACGAAAGCTTTGCGAATAAAAAATCGTTAGTAATTAATGAATGCAAAGAATTTCGATGCTGCGACAAATTGTCGAATGCACGCTTAATTGAAATTTTGATTGAAAATCGCGCATATAATCTATCATTAATTATAATCATTTTTCAATAAATACTGAAAATTACAACTTTATGACTTTGTTAATTCAACTTAGATGTTTAATAATATTATTTATTGTGTCCATTTTTTAATAACATTTATCAATTAAATCTTTTTGATATTTATTTCTACAATTTATGCGATACTTCCAAATTTACATAATAATTTTTCTTAATCCAAGTGATATAATTAAAAATTATACAGTAAAATATTAACCAACCCAGACTGTGTTCGATCCAATCCCGAAATTATAGCATTAGATTTATGTTTTTGTTGTGAAGTGTCACTAGTTATCTCGCTTCTGGGCAATTCATTGCGAATGCTTAATCGAATTGAATGTTCAACAATATCTTTCTTTGGCATAACAGCTAATAATCGTATTAATTTTCCATTATATCATTTAAAGATAGTGATACAATTTATGTGTTGAAAACTTGCAATAAATGAGTTTAATAAAATCAAATGGTAGTTATGACAGCATGAATGGAGACGAGAAAAGAAGCTAAAATTGAAGATTAAGCAGAAAGATAGCAATTAATTGTGACTGTTTGTTTATTTTGTAATATCGCTATAAGATCAAATATTTTTCAACAAAACGAATGATTTCTAGGTTATTTTAAATTTTAGAATATAATTCACTTTACTTAATTTAATTTACTGAGGATTGCTTGAGTAAGCATGTACACATATCACATTACTATTAACAAGGCAGTTGCTTTGTCGGCAAATCAACTTTGACAATCACGTCAACTATCACGTAGTATCATGTTTGTCATATTGATATGACTATGGACATAATATTGCTTGCTGATACTGAACAAAAGTTTGTCTTACAAATTATGACTTTCTTCTCGTGTTGATTATCTTAGGTGTCATATCAATGAATTAATAATTCGAAACTCAAAAGCAAATAAAGTAATAACAAGATTAAATAAGTACTTGGTGTTAAACAACTAAAGCAATTACCTTCATGTGTTAAAGGAAATTTTTTACTTCCTTTCAGACAATTTGTCATAATGTATAAACTGAGCAAAAGTGTTCCGATAGTTGAATATGACACACTGACGACACCAATCTATAGTGGTATTTAAATTTGTTTCTTTTTATTATAATTGCTACATTCATTACCACTATTTAAGATTGTAACAATGGCAATGGAAGAGAAGGTGACCTGCCCAAATAATGCTGACCAGAAATATGAAACCATTATAACCAATGCGTGGTGCTACACTACAGAGAACCGCACGTTTTCATGAAGACTACTAGAAATAACGTTGGAGTGATTAAGAATCATTTAAATGCATTTTATTTATCAGTTAAATCGAAATGAACTTAAACAAATCTTAAGAAAGAGTAAAAACTAGATTAACTAATTCTACAGTCTTATCTAATTTCCTTCAAGCTCAAATTTATAACACCACGCATTGCTTACATCGGTAGAACAGAGAAAAATACTGAACTCTGCATAAAAATTCCTAAATCCATCTTTTTCATTAAGTGAACAATATCGTACAGTTTCCATCAGCAAGACGTGGATAAACGTGAAGTTAGAATTTTTAAATGTCTCTAAGCAGTGCATTTTTAAATCTTCAAATCAAATGCAGAAAAATAAATATAATATCACACATTAAACACTTCAAATCTATCTTCCTCAATCAGATATACAGTAATGAACAATTGACGTAATTGGATTAATAAATACTTAAGAAAATTTAAGAAATTAAATCGTATCCTTTAATTTTTTAACTTAAGGTATTTAATAATTTTCAAATTATTCAAATATTAACAAAGTAATAAACTATTTTATCATTAATCATTTTTGTATTTTGGATTTTTGACTGATAAAATTTCATGCAAAATAATAAAATAAATATGCTATGAACTTATTATGTGGTATTGTCTACAACTTTCAAAATTACTAGTTTAAATTCTGTTAGCTAATATCTCGTTATGAAAAAAATGGACTATTTAATAAGTAACAAAATTAACGGACCAACAAAGTGTCTATAAAAATTCTTTACGTGTAAGTGCACTTAAAAGCTTTTTTGCCTCGAAGATAGTTTGACGAATTGGTATTAGTCTTGTGGCGGTGCTTATCACTTTTCTATTCTTTTTTAGCTCGAAGTATAAATAAAGCAGGGAAGTAATTGTTAGTTGAAGTAAATAAAAAAATTTGATAAAATATTTTGAATGAAAGAAGAAATCGGAGGTAATACTAATGACAGATTTTATGTTTACTATGTTATGTTTAGTAATATTTATTTAGTTGATTTTATGTTTTATTAATTTTACTTTTTTGTATCTCATTCTTTTCTTTTGCTATATGCTTGCATATCATGCATTTGTTAAACAGTATAAAATGACTTTTTGGATAAAATTTGTTTTTCAATTAATTCAGTTTTAATTAACTTTCATCCAATAAAGTCAAATGCGTGAGGATAACATCTATGTACCTGATAATGAATTAAATGTCTTCGTCGTAATTTGTCGTTACAGATTCTAGTAAGAGATGACAGTGGTTTTAGAAGTAAAATTCTGCACCGCAAATCGTTCATTTTAGTGCAGATTTTTCTGATCTCACATATTTTGGAAAATCTTGATCAGCTATGGCAGGATTCTCCGAAGCAGCAATGTCAAAACGTTTGCAAACGTTGAATACTACTCAACAATCAGTTCAGATGATGTCTATGTGGTTATTGCATCATCAAAAAAATCACGCACAAACGATTGTAAAAGTGTGGCTCCAGGTCATTATTATGTATTTTTTTGGTTAATATTTCGCAGGCGTCAGTATAATATAGATGTTGTTTTATTCTTGTAGTGAAAGGAAAGCACTAATAATCATAACTGAGGAACTAATCATCATTTTTTAAAATTTTATTTAGATAATAAGTGTTTACAATCTACAGCATCAATTCAATTTCATAATTCTTTTTACATTCATTTTTGTTTTGCATAAATTTTTTTAAGGAGATCCAAAAAGAAACAAAACCTGCACGCTTAGTCAATCTGCTTTATCTGGCTAACGATGTAATTCAAAACAGTCGGAAACACTGTGCGCATTTTATGGGAATGTTTTATGAAAATTTGGAGCCAGCATTTAGGTTTCTATATGAATTTTCAGTTTTGTTTGTCTTTTATTTGCGATGAAAGAATTAGAGTTATACCCATGCATTAAATGGCTTGTTTTTTTTTAGATTATTCAATGCCTTAAAAATATAAAATTGAAATTCATGTACGGTTGTAATTGACAGATTAACTTCATTTCATAGCCATTTTATTGTTTTTTTCGTAATTTACACTGACTGTATTATTATAAAGTTTTACTTATGATATAGCCTCGTACTTTTATGTTATGTAATGATATTCTAATTGTGATGAAATGATGTGTAGAGAAATTGAACACTCTAGGATGACGTTTTAGGCACGTGAGCACCCATGCAGATGCTGATGCTGTAGTCGCAATGAAGAAAATTTTGAGAGTTTTTCGTGAGCGTCAAATTTATCCTGATAATAAAGTTGATCGTTTAGTAAATGCTGTTGCTTCATCTTTAAGTGGAATAAGGCTTGTTGAGTTCAATATTGAATTAGGCGGGACAAATTTAAGCAGCGAAAATATTCAAAAATCTCGTCTGACGCCAACCACCCCGCCAAATACCGGGAAAACTATGGATTCACCATCACATTCATCAACTCCCATTGTCCATTCAGATTCACCGGAACCGAAGAAGGTTAGATCATGTATAATATTTGATTTTAATTTTTTTTATTCCTAAATTTCAAAGTTAGTGATCTACAGTTTACTTCTGGAAAGGACTTATAATTAGGTGACTCTTTTTTTCAGTGCAAGGTGGATAGCGAAAATTTTGATGTAAAAATTATGACACGAGTAACAGAAGAAGTAATTGCGTTACTCAAAAAACTGGAAGATCCTCCATCAGCTGATGCCGAAACACGGTATATAATTTTTTTTTGTTGTATTTTATAATTCTTCAAATAGATTAAATAGCAGCGGATTTCAATTTTTGGAATTTTGGTTCTTTTCATTTTTGTTAGACTGATGAAGTTCTGAAATAAATCGAATAGAAAAGACAGAGTTTTGATTGAATTTATTTCATAATTTCAGTTAAGTATGAAGAAAGAACCAGCTCCAGCGCTTTCAAAGTAATCATTAGAACTTCATATAATTTGTGTTATGGAATGAATAAAAAGTTCCAAAGTCTTTCAGGCAGCTCATAGCTTCCTTTCCGGAAACTATTGCAAATCCAGCTCTTCTAAAACCAATCAAAGATGAATCCCAAGCAGTAGAGTTGCTAAAAAAAATTAAGGAAGCTGAGCCTGTAGTCAAGGAGTATTGTAAGAGGTATTTTTTATGAATATTATAGATTTTATTGCAAATACTTTGTGTCAGATGTTGTTTTATGGAATTATTTTGATTTTGAAAACACTAGACTGTCCACGGAAATGGAGGATAGGCGAACTTTGCAGCAGTTGCTTCCCGACTATTTCGATTTTCTAAAAGCTAGTGCTATAAGAAATGATGAGATGTTACGTTCTGTTCGAGAAAAAGTAGAAAAATTGGAACAGGAGAAAATGTCGGTGAGCTTTTGTTTTTTGGTACAAAGTGTGTTTGAAGAGTATTTTAATTCGTAAATTTTTTGAGTGGTTTAAACAACTAGTGTAATATTACTATGCCATAGTTTTCTCTTTTCATGCTCTTAGCTATCGTAAGAAGTAGTGGGATTTTAATGTAGTCAAGAATACGGTAATCTTTCAGGTAAAAGAACATTTTGATTCATTGCCAGATCTTGCCAACTTACCTACAGGTGCACTACAACCACTTCCTTCTCTTGGAGAATTATTCAGAAGTGATAAAGATGGTGACCATAATATGGAAAGTGAGAACTGGTAAAAAAATTTTAAGTTTTCAATAACTGGGTTATATAATAGGACTATTTTTTAAAGTTAAGTATATTTTCATTCGTAATATTCTTTTTACTTCAGTTAAACTTCGCAGTCAATCGCATGTATTGGAACTAGTAGAAAAAAACAAATTTGATCGTTATTTTGCAACAAAATTTCACTTGTTATTGTTTCATTATTGTCGAAAGCGTAAAGTTGAAGCGATGTTTATCTTCATACATTTTTCGTTTCGTGATCTGTGGACTCAAATACTAAGTAAGTACTGGTGCTGTGTAATTCTTGATTATTAATGCAGACTTTAGTTTTCATATTTCATAAATATTTTATCGAGATTTTGGTTCAAGAAAAAGATCTACTCTTTAATATGCTCAATTTCATTGTAATGCAAGAGATGCAAAGATTTTGTGATTTTAATGCATTGTATAAATATTTTTTCTTTTAAAGTCAGAGTATGAAGTGTAATATGGTGTTATTCACCGAGTAGAATTTATCTTTCCATAAATCATGAAGGAAATGTAAACTTATTTGAAGTTCTTCCAGGAGGCAATAAATCATCGCTCTAAATAAGGCACTTAATATCTAGGTTCTTATTAAAAATCAGACGATAATGACGTGGTTTGAGTTTTTAAGTGCAAAGTGATTTGTGACTTAGTCATATTATAATTGTCAAAAAAGATTATACAGAAATTTGTCCAACACTTCTTTAAAAATTTTCTCCTGCAGCTGACTATTCATCAAAAAGAATTTGATAATGACTTTTAGACGCAGGGTATTGTTTATTTCATGTGCTCAGTCATTTTAAGATCTTTGGTAATGGGTATCGTCGAAAAAATACAAGAAATTGAGCATGAAATCAATAGGACACAAAAAAATAAAGCTACGGAGCATCATTTGGGTTTGCTGAAAGCGAAACTTGCCAAATATCGCCAGCAGTTGCTCGAACCAACGACAAAAGGTAGCACAAGTAAAGGTGATGGCTTCGATGTGATGAAGAGTGGTGACGCCAGGGTAGCTATGGTTGGTTATATTAAGATATGACATTTTTGGATATATTTTTTTTAGAAGTAAGGAAAAATACTGCTTTATACGTTCATTAAATCTGCGACCGTTACTTGTTTGTTGAATGCGAACTAAGATTCACTAGTAGAATTCACGATATATGATTTTGGTGTTTATATTTCCATAAATTTTTTCTCACTGAAATAGCTGGAAAAATTTTTATTGAATTAAAATGCTGTAGGTTGGTTTTCCATCTGTTGGTAAGTCGACGTTACTCTCTTCGCTTACTACTACAGAGAGTGCTGCAGCTTCATATGAGTTTACTACACTTACGTGTATACCAGGAGTTATAGAATATGAAGGAGCTAATATACAGTTACTTGATTTACCTGGTATAATTGAAGGAGCCTCACAGGGCAAAGGTACGTTTTTGAGAAGAGTTTCAAATTTTTTATGCTCAGTTAAAATTTGATCAGTTAATTATTTTTATTGCAATGTAGTTTTCTGTAGGTCGAGGAAGGCAAGTTATTGCGGTTGCAAAAACAGCGGATTTAATTATAATGATGTTGGATGCGGAGAAAGGTGAAGTTCAGGTCAGCTGCGACTTTAAGAGAGCTTTTTTTCCCAAAATATAGCGTTAAATTTTGATCAAAGAGTAAAACAATAATGAAGTATGGTGCTGCATATTATTATATTTGAAAAAAACTTCAAATCACGGAGGTTATTGTTTCTGTAGTATGAATGATTCAGACTATGTAGCGTCAGTTACGGAGTACGATGGGATACAAATGTATTGTAAGAGGTTATGGGATTACTTCCTGAAATTTAAAGATTTAAATTCACATGCAATGATTTTGAGTTTTGAAAGTAGAAGAAATTTATAGAAGACACTTCTTTCTCGAGAATTAGAGTCAGTTGGAATTCGTTTAAATAAGCAACCTCCACTGATTTATTTGAAACGAAAGAAAGTTGGCGGAGTGAAGTTCACGCATACAGTACCTTTAACATTTTGCAGTGAAAAGGTAGTGATGACTATATTACACGAATATAAGATTTTCAATGCTGATGTCGTTTTCAGAGATGACTGCACGTAAGTTAGAATTTTGAGATTACAAAGGAAAATATATCTTGACGTGAAGTAGTTTAAGAGTAATTTGTAGCAATATTTATTAAGAGAAGTTTTCATCGTGCTGCTAGTCTTTATAGACTTACAAGAAGTCTGAGTTGAATAGCAAGAGTTTTTTAAGAAGAACTATCAGTAAAATAATAAAAGTAGTATTTTAATGTAGAACAATTAAAAATGTAAAAATTATTGGTTGTAATACTCACTGTTGCTCAGGGTGGACGAATTCATTGATGTAATTCAAGGAAATCGAGTGTATATTCCATGCCTTTACGTGTATAACAAGATCGATCAAATCAGCATAGAAGAAGTCGATAGGTGAAAAATTTTTTTTTCATTTTTGCCAGTTGTACATTCAGTAGGGTTTTTCTTTGTATTTGTGCAGTTATTTTCTAATAATTTTCATATGACGATAGAAGAAACTATAATTGATACAACAAGTAAGAAATTAATGAAAATTAGTAGTTTGATAGAAGCGTGCTGTTTTGTTTTTTATAAATGGGAATTTGTACGAAATTGATTAGCATGAAGATTTTTCAGATTAGCTCGTCTGAAGCACTCTATAGTCATTAGTTGTGAAATGAAATTGAATATGGATTACATGGTAGAAAAGATTTGGGAATATCTTGCTCTAATCAGAATTTACACCAAAAAACCTGGAAATGCACCTGATATAGGTCTAAGTTTATAAAGATATCATAAATGCTATTAGCACTGTTATAAATAAATTATAGTAAGGTATTTCTCATCGTGAATAATTTGTATCAGTTTTTGTAATTGTCTCAATGTTGTTAGACACATGGTATTGATAATAAAACTTTAACTTGTTATTTGAACAAAGTTTTTGGAAAAATGAACTGAAGCTTTAAACTCCGATTTCAGGGCCAGAAGATGGTGTCATTTTACGTCGCGGTGCGACAGTTGAACATGCATGTCACGCTTTACATCGTAATCTTGCCTCAGCTTTTCGTTATGCCATTGTCTGGGGTACCAGTACAAAGTTTTCACCGCAGCGTGTAGGCATTCATCATAAGCTTCATCATGAAGACGTATTGCAAATTGTTAAAAAGTAGTAGCTAGTAAATATTATATTATAATACTCTTCAATATTCTATTTGATTTGTTTGCGGTAAGAATATTGATGTCCTCAAGACAGTGCGTGCTGTTGCTCAGATAATAAAAACAAATTATAACATTTGTTGCTAACTTTACTAAATATCTAGGATGTTATGTCAGCTCTGTGGTTCCAAAAAGCACTATTCATTAGATTTAAATTATAAGTTTATTCGTCTTATTCACTTATAAAATGGAAATAAAAGTTTTTCATTTTGTTCACGCTCATTTGAGTGAAATATTATCTTGCTGACGTCATTCGTTATTGAAAAACAGTTTTACATCAGCTAGAATTTGTGAGTTGTAATACTTATATCTTATGCGGAGCTTTTATTTCAAATTTTTGCAGTGTTTTTTTTTCAATTGATAATCGTAAAGTTTTTAGAACTTTGTTCGATTGAGTTTGGGCATGAGAGTGCACTTTTATATCTTCAGGAAGTTTTCTTTTTAGCATTTTCATAGTTGGTTGTGTGCTCTTGAGACTTCGCAGGAGAGAACTTCCACGTTGAGGACATGATGCGATTTAACTGGCTAATCGTCCGACATGAGATCGAGCGCAATTTTGTAATGGGAGATCCTATGTCGTGGCTTTTGATAAAGTCTCAGCAACTTTTTTCTACAAGAATAGCAAAAACTGCACATGAATATAATCCAGATTCACGATTAGAATGTGAAAAGCTGCAAACCAAGCGATCGCGACTTTTGTATCAGAGCAAGAAACGTGGTATTTTAGAGAATGATATATTATTGGGTAAATTTGCGGAAAAAATGCTTGATAAGATGGATTTAAAGCAGTTAATGCGTTACGATGAAATTATCAATGGGCAATATATGGAATGGGATTTGTATTACTATGTTTCCGGACGGAAACCCTTGCCAAACGATCTAAAGGATTGTGATGTTTTCCGTATGCTTCAAGAGTTTGTTCGGAATGAAGTCAAGGAAAAGTGTGCAGAACCTAAATGATTCATAGTCCTACTGAATTTTCAATTTTGTCTTCCTTCCCGTACTCTTATTTCTTACTTGTAAGAGCATATTATCACATTTAGTTCTCAAAGTTATCATCTTTTTCATTTGATTTGTTTTATCATTCATATGTAACTCAAAAATTTTTTTAAAGATTTTTGCAACTCACTGTGTTTAATTACAATTAAGTAATGATTTGAAACGATATTGTGCACAACTGTATTAATGATTTTTAATCATTATGTACGTAGATATATTAAAATAATAAGCCATAGTGTCCATGTACACCAGTCATTCAAAGTACGGTTCTTAATAGGCTATTTGCAACAAGCATTTGTTTTTCATATGATTCATTTTCTTATTTATTAACTTTATAATGTATATAACGAAGTAATTAACTGTGATTAATAAACATAAGCACTTGTTCCAGATGATTGTAAGCATTGTAATTAGCAGATTTGTAATGTAGTTATTTAAACTACGGCAATTAAACCCTATGTTCAAACTTATGTTTAGGTTTGGAAAGTAGGGTTTCGGGTTTGGTTTTGAGGTATCTTATGTACTTTGTGGTGATTGGAGTCTTTCTTCTGCTCAGCTTACGGTGACAGCACGTAGTGATTAGATATTGCTCATATGTGATTATAGATTATGCATTTGGATAATGTTCTTTTGCTCATTGTAATCAGTTTACTGCCTGTTTCTGGAATTCAGACTAACCCAGTTTCTATTCCTAAAGGACAAAAGCAGGGAAATATTGTGATAGCTGCTGTCATCTCAACACCATTATTACCCGATAGTGATAGTTTTGGCGTTTGCGAATTGGAAGGATTTGATTTGAATCCAACTGGTCCATTGGTACCATGTAATTTTCTGGATGAAAGGTTTGCCATGTTTCATTTTCTGTGACATAGTTTCAAGAATATTTCACAATTTTTTGAAAGGTGAGTAAATTAGTCGTATGTATCTGAAAAATTAGATCTGATAAAAATCAAATTAATGTCTGTGTACGAAATGTCAGTATCGTTTTCAGATGGGTTGATTGTGATTTACCGGTGGATATATCACAAATTCCAGAAGTCAATAATACAAAGGTGAAATCATTCAAGAAAAATATTTTTTAAGATGCATAGTTTATATGTATTGTGGTAAATTTTGCATGAATTTGAGATTGATGGTGCTTGTCTTACGTGGGGTGGCACACGTTACGAAAACGTCGAACAGACAAATGTCAGCTGTCGAGTACTGTCATGTATTGAATGTCGTGGTCCACGCACTTTTTTAAGACAAGTGCCTTGCATCAAGTATTTTTAATTTTTTTCGCATTGAGACAAATTTTCTACTTAAAAAAAATTTTCGATCATCTATTCGATAAATTTTTTCAGTATAAAAGTCATATTATGTCGTTTATGAAATAGATGCAGTTTGTTTTTTAAGTATCAAAAATATTGAGGTATGTAGAACTAGTTTTTTATCACTTGTATTTTCATACTCGCAACTTCTTTTTTATGATACACTTTTATGCATATTATGTATTGTTTTCAGATATACGGGTCATTACTTTCTTTCAACTTTATTGTATTCTATATTTTTGGGAATTCTAGCTGTCGATCGTTTCTGTTTGGGCTATTCAGCTATAGCCGTTGGTAAACTGATGACATTAGGAGGTTTGGGTTTATGGTGGATTGTTGATATATTCTTGCTGGTTACTGGGAACTTAAATCCTGCTGATGGATCGAATTGGCAACCATATTATTGAGATAAGCATATGACTTCATCAAATTGTAAATACTTTTTGTAATATCTGGAAACACGTTTTCTTTGGTCAATATATGACCATCATCAATTCTTACTTAATGTATGATTTTGTAAATTTTTTATTTTTTGCACCTTTATCAGGATGAAAATATTCTATCTCATGAAAAAGTTTCTCTGGCTGAAATAAATTTATTTTCGTCACTTGAGAGATTTCAAGCATGATTGTTTTCATTTCGGTGCTTTATTTTTGTAATGTACTTTGATTTGATCCTAATGAAGGTTTAAATACATTATCATGAAGGAAAACAAACTATTTTGTGAGGCCTCACGTTCTGCGCTTTGACGTAATTTATGCAGCACATATCACAATTATATTGTGACATACTATGAAATGGAATTAGTGCAACTTATACCTTTAATTAAGTTTCAAAGTTCTTAGAGATA